CTTGAAGGCGCGACACTTGATTGCAGTACTCGCAGCCAGAAAGTTCATCTTCCCCTCGAATATCTAGACGTATGAGACAGGGTCTCCTGACCCATCATACGGAGTCATCGTTGGGGCCTTGAACTTATGCAGGATCGGCTCGTTGAGGATATCCTAAGAGAACGGTGGCTCCTCTCGTTCTGCAAAGTCAACATGGTTTGGTGACTTCTACTGCTTTTTGAGAGCCTTGATCTCCTTCTGCGTCTCTTCCTTCAACTAGTCCATCTCAGACCTGATGCTTAGAACCTGAACCTGGGGGTTCGGATTAGGTTGGAGGTCCACCTAGGTGTCTTCAGCTCGGCCAACCTCTTTTTGGGCCCCAGTTGGGACCCCATTCGTTGAAGTGTGAATCCCTCTCTGGGAGACGATCCCTGGAGGTCCTGATTACTTGAGAATAGGTACGTCGGGAATAGGTCCGGCGAGTATGCTTGCGATTGGCAGTAGGTGCGGGGGTGTGAGAGAGTTGAGAGCGTGTTGGGACTACCATTGTTCAGTTCAGATGTTGCTAGGAAATGACTTGAAAAATCAATTTTTTCCTAATGGCCCCAAATGTTTGATCAAGAAATGACCAAGTCTCCAAGCTTCGGAACGRCAAGGAAAAGCTAAACAGCGAGCTCCAAATGCCGTACAGGAGACCTACAAAACAGAGTAAGAACTCTGATGCTAAAGTCAGTAAACGCTCAAGTCAACTTGAGAGAGAATTGGTTTGATTGCATACCTTAGAATGGAGCGGGATGATCCTATTTATAGGCACAAGACGCGATAGGGTTCCCGACAAGGCCGCAGCGGCTCTTTAAGGTTGCCATGAAGAATGGCGTGCTGTTGTGGAGTTTGTCGGATAATGGGTTGAACCAAAGTAATCCATGTTATATATTGGGGTCGGCTCGGCATGAGATCTCATGGCCGAGGTAAATATAATTGCATAAAGTGACATGTGTATGGCCGATGATCCAACCATAGTATGCCACGTGTAGGTTGAGAATTCACCTCCAACACATGGTACCTCCACCATCTTTCTTCTAGTTTATGTGGATGATGTCATTATAACAGGGAATGATGTCGCCCTGATTGAGAATCTCATTGCTGCCTTAGATAATAAGTTTGCACTTAAAATCTTGGCTCCTTAAGTTACTTTCTTGGCATTCAAGTGTCTCAACTGGACTCGGGTCTATTCCTCACACAAACCAAATATATCGATGACTTGCTCCATAAGCTTCATTTGTCACACTTGAAGTCGGCGCCATATCCATCCGTCTTTGGTAGAAATCTCTCTCTTTCGGATGGCCAGCCACTGCAAGATCCCTTTATTTATCGCAATACTGTGGGTGCTCTATAATACTTGACTAACACCTACCCAGACATTGCCTACATTGTAAATCACTTAAGTCGGTTTCTACAACGACCATCTGATATTCATTGGCAAGTTGTTAAAAGAGTCTTGCGTTATCTAAGTGCTACTAAGTACATGAGGTTATTAATTCACCCTAGTGATTAGTTAACAATCTCGGCCTTTTCAGATGTTAATTGGGCATCCAATGTCGATGACTGAAAATCAGTTGCTGCTTATTGTGTTTTTCTTGGAAATACACTTGTCTCATGGTTCTCCAAAAAGCAAACAGCCGTTGCTCGATCGAGCACGGAATCTGAATATCGTGTTTTAGCTCATGCCTCTATTGAGATTGTTTGGCTCCAGTAACTTCTACATGAACTTGGAATCTGCTCTCGCTCTGTTCCAATCCTGTGGTGTGGCAACATGAGTGCTAGTTCTCTCGCTACAAACCTAGTTTTCACGAACGCACGAAGCACATCAAAATTGATGTGCATTTTGTTTGAGATCAAGTTCTTCGCGGTGCTCTTGAGGTTCGTTATGTTCCCTCATTCGATCAATTGGCAGACTATCTTACCAAGTCCCTAACTCATTTTTAGTTCGCCTACTTACGGTCCAAACTTTGGGTCATTGAACTCCCCTCTCGTTTGAGGGGGATGTAAAGGAGAATGTGCACAAATGCAGAGCTACAGTAGTCTAATGATAACACCTCAGCACTTCTAGAATTCTCCACTAACAAGAATTTGTTTTTCCACTATTATTTAACACCATTAGGTAGTCAACACGTGTACCAAAAATACTTTACAATTCTTGTTGTTTCTCTCTCTAGAAACCCTAATTTGGGGTACATAAATTTCACAATTATAGAAACTTGTATTACATTGAAAATTGAAATACAGAAAGGTGAAATAACCTTTTTCCAATTTTGTTTTTGTGTGTCTGCAGTGGTATTAGAGCCCAAAACGCTCAAATGAGCATCCGATCCAAATATGAGATACGGTCAAAATCGATGAGCCAAAAGAGTCATGATCTTGAGGGGGCGTGTTAAGAACCCCACATTGAAAAGAAAATGAACCTAACAACAGTTTATAATAGACATGGGCTACTCCTCTCATTGCCAATTAGTTTTGAGATAGAACCTCATGGATATTAATAGTTAGGTCCCTTATCTTTTCAATGTGGGATCCTAACATGCCCTCTCAAGATCGTGGTTCTATCGGTTGCTTGTTTGAGCGTTTTGGGCTCTGTTTTTTTTTTAAATAAGGTCCATTATTTTATAAATGTGGGGTCCTTAACATTTATTACTACACGCCGGACAGTGGACAAACCACTCCCTGTCCAAACCACTCCCAAACTTAACCGGGGTGGAATCGCCTACCTACCATTGAAAAATTATATATATTAAGGGCTAGATATATATTATATGAAGTGTAGTCTTTGTAGTATGTAATTATATTATGAAGTCATTTTATCTTCTATAAAAATAAAAACAATATTATAAATTATAATATACTATGCACTAAGTTGTATAATATTTTTAATTATATAATTATACAAATTTTATAATGCAAAATATGATAATATATTTATTAATAAATTTTAATATCCAACCAAATCGATTATTATGTGAACTATTTTACTTATTTTCACTTTTACGAGTACATTACCAAACACATATTAAAAATTTCTCAAATCCAAATTCAAATTTTGAACGTGTCTCTCGGAAATATCTTGGCACACCATTTCTTACCCTCCACATGGCAAGTCCATTTTTACCCTCCAATAATGTCAAATTGATCTATTAATGGTAAAAAATGTAAAATAGGTTAGAGATTATTAGACACAACATTGAAAGTTTTTCAGACAAATTAGTCATTTTTTAAGATTATTAGACACAAAATTGAAAATTTAACGACCTATTAGGAACACCTTTTAAAGTTAGAGACTTATTCGACACAAACCTTACAAACAATTCAAGGACAAGAATTATAATTTAACTGAAAAATAAAGATTTAAACCCACAACCTATAATGAGAGTTATAAAATAAGAGAAAATTTTCAACACTTCAATAGTATGGATACTATCCTCATTCATTATCGTCCGCGTGAATATTATTTAAGAGGATATGTGGACCAACAATATTAAATAATTACTTAGAGATAAATTCAAAAAATAAAAATTAAAGAGGGAATAGATTAAATATTATTCTTGAAAGTTTTTGCCTTGCAATTGCAACATCCCTTAATTTCTCCATTTTTCAAATTGAATCACTCTCTTATTGCAATTAGGCTCTTGAATGATGATTTGAAATCTCTATCCAATTAACCATCTCCTTCTTGCTCGTACTCATTTTAGGTTCTTTAATTTTTCCTTCTTTTAACTTTTGAATGGTTAGGGATAATATTTCACTCAAATGTAGTTCAAGTGACATCTAATTCTTAATACGATAGAACTTTTTTTGGAAGAAAAAAAACAGAGAGAGAATAGATACAATAAATTAAAAAAAGAAAAAAAAAAGTTGGAAATTTTCTTTAACATTTGGTGGTGAAGACAATTTTTTACTTGGAAATTAATTTCCTTTTTGGTTGGTAGGTAGCTTTTAGCATGGTAAGCATTCAAATCATTTTACTTCCATCACACGAGACTCCCACTTTTTTACCTTTCCTCCTTAAAACTATCATTTATCTTTTCCCAATTATTTTATAATCAATTTTACATCTCATATTGCTCTTTCATTTAATTAATTTTAGGTAGTAATCATCCAAAGAAACTTTCTACTCAAATTATATCAAAATCATGCTAATTATATTAATTGAAACTATACAAAAATGAGAGCTAATTTATAGTTCATATATAAAAATGTAATCTTTTAAGTTTAAGACAATATTGAAACATACAGATGTCAATTCATATTTATCTAACTTTTTAATGATATGTTAGCTCAAAAGTTAATGATAAATTTCTGAGATATGCTTACGCCTTCCTATTTCATTTAGTGTTTAAATTTTTATTAGACTTGAAATTTTTAACCAAAAAGAATGAATTTATAACATATATATCTTGTTTCTTTTGGAAAATAAATAAATAAATAAAGAGACTGCTTTTTTTTAGTACAATAAAAATACAATTAATAGCCCTAATATATGTATGTCAATCTTTTTTAATCTTAATTTTATCATAAAGTCATACATATGGTTCATTAATAATCGTTCAATGGCGTAAAACTCAAAATAAGTTGAATTCCTATTTTAATCCATTGATTTAAATTTAGTAATAGTTTTCATTTAATATTTTTAATTTAACTAAATCTCTCAACATTTCTCATTTCTCTAAGTCCAAAGAAAATGTGGAACAATATTATAAATTTATAGGAATTATTAGAATAAAATTTTGAGAGATTTAGCAAAAAAAAAAAAAGAGAGAGAGAGAGAGATTGAACGGTAACTTTTAGAATTATAAAAACTAGATTAAATCAAAGCGAAACCAGTGAATTAAGCTTTAAAATATCTATGTAGCACGAATAATTAGAAAGTGAACACAAAAACTAACACTTCTAACAAAAATCTTTTTAATATAAAAATAGAAAAATTCTTCAAATAAATTTAAACCCAACTTAAAAACCGAAACAAAACGAACACAAACCATCACCAATTTATAATACAAAAGAAAAAATAGAAAAAACAAAATTAATTTGGCATAACAACAGAAACATTATCCCAAACACTCAGCTTATAAATGATCAAGAATTTTATCCCAACACATTTCCCACTTCCCGTTACAAGAACACCAACACTCCGGCGGCCGCGGCAACTCCGACCGCCGCCACCGGCCACTTTCCGGCGGCGGCGGAGTTGTCACCGGCAGAGTCGGCAGGGGTGTCGTCGGACAGGGCCTTGGACTTCTTCTTGGGCTTCTCGGGGGCGGGGGCAGGAGGCGGCGGGCGGGGCTGGAAGATGCCGATGGGCCTGAGGACGGAGTCGAGCTGGTAGACGGCGAGTTGGTTGTCGGAGTAGATGGTGCCGGAGATGGAGGTGTTGACAAGGCCGGAAGAAACGTTGACGGAGTTGCCGGAGGTGGTGACGTTGAGAGGGAACTCGTAGGCGTCGCCGGCCTGAGTTCTCAACGGATTGCTCACAGTTTGGAAGTTTGAGAGCGAAAGGAACGTGGGAATCATGTGGAATTGGAGAAGCTCTTCTTTTTGTTCGTCGTTCAACGAATTTAGAGTGCCTGCCCACATTTCAAAACTCTCATTTTATCTATTAAATCATTCAAATGGTTTTTGAGTCCGAGAGTACAACCTGAGTTATTGGAATTCATGACTTCTTTGGTTATAAACAATATCAATTATAGTTAAGCTAAGTAAAGCTTAGCTCTTTACAGAGTATTTAAATCACTAATAATAGTTCAATCTTTTTCTTTGAAAACTTAACGGAACTTGATTCATTTCATATATTTCTAACCTAACTCTATTAGTGTACTCAGAAAAGAAATATTACTAATATACTATATCTTTTATATACATTCTTAGTTTCTTTCAGTACAATATACGGGAGTAGAGATTCGAACTCACGATATTTTTGTCGAAAACATATATTAATGAGTTGAGTTAAGTTCAGGTTGATAATAAACTCATAATTTGATAAATTCTTTTTTTAGTTCAATGAGAATAGAGTTCGGACACACCACCTTTTGGTCCGAAATATATACCAGTTGAACTATGTTTAGATTGGCAGCATAGCTCACTTGAGAAGAATAAAAAAGACCATGGAGGAGAGAGTAAGATTAAAGGGAGGTACCCGATTTGAGACTAGAGAAAGCATTATCAGTGGGGGCGAAAATGGTGAGTTCAGAATTGGAGTCATTAAGCTGACTGTTAATTTGATTCGCCACTTGAGTGCTCTTCAAGAGTCTGATCAGAATCGTGAACTGGCCAGCCTTTTCCAGTATTTTTGTGATATTTGTCGGCGGAGGCGGCGCCGGGGCCTCGGCTGGTGCCTGGCCCGAGCTGCAACGGAAGAAGAGAAACAGAAAAAGAGAGAAAATAGCGGGAGAGAAGACGCGATTCATGATCTTCTCTAGATCTAAAGAAATGGCAAACACCAAAGGCCAAATAATGCCCAATTTTGGCTTTGTTGGTGAAGAGGAAGAAGAAGAGAAAGGGCTTTTTATGCCATGCCAACACTAAGAGAGCTGGATGGAGAAAGTTAGGTGTCTGCGTCCAATCAAGTTTTTAGAGGGTTGTTTGGATCATGGTATTAAATTTTTCGTGACGTTTTTATATATATCCAAGCTTTGATATCGACATGAGGGTAACCTTAAACTGAAATCAATTACATTTTTCGGCACCATTTTGTATAATTTACTTAGGTTTCGAATTTTATCGCTGGTTTTGAATTTTATAGCTAACTCGCATGTATGTGGTTTTAATTTTGTTCTTAGTGTTTAAAAAGTCTAACTTTACTCTCAATTTGTTATAATTTTTTTGGCTAACAATGGTTTTTTTAAAAACAAATAGAAAGATGGCAGGGGAAGAGAAACTTTTAAAAACAAATTAAAAACCAAGGACTATATAGATCAAAGACATTTTGTACAATTTGATTTTTTTTTTAAATAAAAATCATAACTTTTAGTTTACATTTCAAATCATTATTTTCGGATATTTTTAAAAGTATATATATATATATATATATGTATATAATTCAATTTATACCTTACGAGTAGACGAAACAAGAGAAAACAAGCTTTAATGAGGAGGTTCAAACTTGTTTTCATTCAATAAAAAAATCAATAAATGTTTGTTATAAAATCGTTTTCAAAATAATTAATGGAAAATAAGTCTCTTCTCATGGATAATCCACATTCTAGAATCAATCAAATTATTTTTCCTCTTTAATATAACAATATTTATAAATAGTGATTTTGATTTAATTTGTACCATCATGGATCTTACTTAAAATAATTTTTTAAAAAATAAATTTTAATTTAGAAAACGTTTTTTTCCAAATAAATTTCAAATTTTTTTTTTAAAAGAGCTGTTTAAACTCAATTATTGAACATAAAGTATAGTCCTACTCACAAATTAAACATCCCTAATTAGATTACCCTATTTTACCTTTCTTGAAAACAATAGAGAAATTATTAGAGAGAGAGAGATGGGATGTAAGAGCAGATAGATTGCTTGTGAAAGCAGAAAATTGAGAGAGGGGAGATCCAATTGGGCAAGGCAAATAATAAAATATGAGAATCATTGCTTTATTTTCACTTATATATGATTTTTTTTTTAATTTTCCTAGATATTAAAATAAATTATTATAATGAGCAAGAATTTTGAGTTGCTTGCTACAATCTTAAGCAATAAGTTTTCTGCAGAATTCAGAGGCCAATGTGGAAATGGAAGTGTTTTATGAATTGTAATGATTGTGAATTGGGACCAACCCTCTTTGGAATGTTTGCTCACAATGCTTTTTCATTTGGATCTTGAGGTGACTGTGCAACCATGCTTAGATAGTGTATTTCCATGTTTATAATTGAAATCTATAGATCTATAGATTTATGTGTATTCTATAAATCGGGCACGGTGATTAATTATATTGAGTTTTGAAGCTTAATCATCAGATAGACTCGATTCAAATTTAAGAAAAAGTTTGAAATCAAGTTCAATAAGAAAAGTCAGTGTACTGTATCATTCAATTAGGAATAATAAGAAAGCTAGATGTTTCTAATTAATGCACGTTAGTCTTCTTTTCTGACGATCGGAAGAATAGAAATTGTGTCTACATGTCGTCGCTTGAAAAGCATCTCATATATACATCATTTGGATCATCTCAACCTGTAGAGTCAAAGAGCCCAATCCTTTGACTAGTGGTTCAAGAGGGCCTAAGACATCTTCAACATAAAAGGTGTTTTGGAGCTCTAAATTAAGACAACTACTAAGATCTATTGTTCGCAACTTCATCAATTTAATAGAATTTGGTGGAGTTTGTAGAAAACATATAAAATACAATTATAGAAACCATAAAACATACCACTTCATCAGTTTAATGGTCACCTATCTTAGGAATTAATTCCTACATATGTGTGTTTCTCGATACTAAATATTGCAGGGTTAGACAGTTATCTCGAAAAATTAGTCGAAATACGTGCTGTTGGGTTTTTGGATACAAAATAACAAATGAGCCAAAAGCCCAATTTAAATATGACCTAGGGTTTACATATATATTATTTATATATGCATGTGTGGCCGTGGAAACAATTGTAGCCATTAGAATTCTTGGGGCGGCCGAATTTGGGGTTTTTTGGCGGCTGTTTTTCATGGCAGCGGCTTGGGGGTTGGCATCACAACTTGGGGAGATCAAGATCATCTTTGTTCGGGTATAGTATCTTGATTATATTTGTGAGTTTTTTATTCTTGTACTTAAGTAATTGTGTCAGATAGCTTAGAAGCTATGAGGGCTTTTGTTGGGACCTCCAGGGATATTTTTTTGGAGAGTTTATTATAATCAATTCTTGACAATATTAGTGAAGTATCCACATTTGAGTGGAAAACTAGACGTAGCGTGAATAATTTTGCTATGTCATTTTCCTGTGTGTTTACCGTTTTCTTCCTCATTTGCAATGTTGTGGTGTGTGTTAGATATTTCGAAAAATTATTCAACGTTATTAATTTTCCATCACGTGCAAATTGACTCGAACAATCACGGATATTAAAATGAATAAAACATATAACATACAATTTAGTTGAAGTCTAGGGTGAACATATACAAATATTTTGTGTATTTCCCTTTCCTTTTTATTTTCCTTCTTTTCCCTCTTGTGTCGTATATTGTTGTTTATCGATCTTGTAGGAGGAAAAAATTAGATTTTCTAGAATCTTCGAATTTCTATCACTGAGTTTGTGTTAAATTATGTTTATGATTTATAATAAAAAATTAAGTGTATAGTTTTTTTTATAAGTACAACGTGTCGAGTGGAGATTGAACCCACTTTGGCAATTAAATGTATAGTTTGGAAGATAGATTTTAGAAATCTTAATAGAGTAATCTGAGTTGATGTAGTTTTGTAAGATGGGCTAATAACATACCTACAAATATAGAAAGTCGGCTTCAAATTATAAACTGTAAAACTTCAATCGATAAACTAAATGCAGTTAAGTAGAAATTTAAATCAGCTACACTTTGCTATTTGGATATTGATAATGGATTGTAATGTTCATTGAACTAAGAATTGAATTTGGAGTGTAAAGATAAAATATAATTAGAAATTTAATGAGCTGTTAAGCATTAATTTATTATTAAGTTTGGGATTATGTGGACTATAATATAAGGATACTTTGAGAAATTAAGTACTATTTTTAAAAATCCAGTGGTGCATGATATTGGACAAAAGAGATAAGGGGACCCTCACCAAAATCTATATACAAGATTTTTTTTTTGTTTATTCGTCTGCAAATATTAATAGTCCTTTATAGTGTCAAAAAAAAAACAAAAAATTAATAGTCGTTTAATAACCATTGTATTTTTTATTTTTTACTTTTCTAAAAAATTAAATTTATTACTAGAAGAGAGAAAATAACCCAACATAAAAAATCAAATCGGGCATAGCTCAAATGGTTAAGATACATATCTCTGACTAAAAGGAAGTAAGTAAATAAAATAAAACCAACTAACGGATCTGGTAAACAACCTTCCCGGATCATCGTCTTCTCCTTCTCCATCGTCCAACGCGCGATCTGGTGTGCCTGAATTTGAGAAAACTTGAAATTTGATGAAACTTTATCTCATAGGTAAAGTTTGGAAACCAAGTCGGTAATTATCTCATTTCCAAATGAATCCTAGTATGAAAAACATTAAAGAAGTAGTCAAAAGTTTACAATTAAAGTTTACTTTACATATTCAAATAATTTCCGCCAATTTATTAAAGGAAAAAATCTTTTTTCGATATTTTCATCGACATCGACATGTTCATAAGTAACATGGTCATATTCTTACATTTAATGGTTAAAGGTGATCAATTATAGGTTAATTAAGCTACAATTAAAGTTTTATTTGCTAATTCAAAAAATTTCCATCAATTTCCACAATTTCCATTATTTTTCCCAAAATATCCATCGACATCGACATGTCTATCAATATGTCCGTAAAATCGGGACCTCGACATTTTCATCGACATCGACATCGACATTTTGAACACTGGTTAGAGTTACAAGTGAGAAAAAAGGCACGTAAAAAAGAATAAAAAAAATATATATATATATATAAAATAGAGAAATACTTAGGAATGGCTACTAAGAGATTATCGTTAAACAAAATGACCAAAGCTTTTCTAAATTGCATGACATGGCCAAAGTTGGTTTCCTAGATTTTAGGGGAGGTCTATAATTTCTTATTTATCCCTCTACACATTTCATGCACATATTACCCTTGCAGTTTTTCTCCATTTTACCCATTCATGTTTTATGCCTCCTAAGTTCCATTAAATCTCTCCTAGCAATGTTATTGAGTTAATATTGAAACCACCTTAACTACAAAATCTACATAATTCCTAAAATCTTTCCACAAAATTTAAACCACAAAATCTACTTATATCATACTTAATATTGAAACGACTTTTAACTACAAAATCTATATAATTCCTAAAATTTTTCCACAAAATTTAAACTACCAAATCTACCTATATGATTCAAACAAGTTTAAAATGTATTTAATTTTTTTGAACAAACATAACTAATTGGTTTGAACATTCCACTGTAATCAGTAACCTTAAATACAGTATTTCTTTAATATTCTTACAAAACGTATCATTAATCCCCACCCATTTTATTTTTACATTTTTTCAAGAATTAAATCAATCAACGCGGGAACATTATGCGATCATTGTTAGCCACGATTTTAGTTGGGAGGAGCACAACAATTATCAAGGGTTCATTAGCGGGCACGTTTCAATGCCATTCGATTTCACCCTACAACAACTCTGTGAATGTATCTCTAGGGATCTTCATTTTCTAGAAGGAAAAAAAGTTACACGTCTTTCACTTTCCAGAAATGGTACTGACAAGTCGATAATTATGAGGCTGTTAGTAGATAGGGACGTGGCGTGGGCCATATCCCTGTTGGCGGATGTCACATGCAGCGACTACGGCATAGTTGTAGATATTGACCCCATATATAACACCATCTACAGGGGTAGTGAAAGTTCAGACGCCAAAAATAGATTGAAAACTATCTGCAGAAAATAGTCATA